TTATTATTATTATTATTATTATTATTATTATTATTATTATTATTACTGTCATAATTAGCATTGCTGATGCACAGTGTTGCCGTCCTAGATGGCCGAGGTGGTGATACTTCGATTTAAACATAGAGCCTCTTAACGTAAATCAGCTCTTATGGTGTCATCCAAGGCGATATTTCAAAAGGAAAAATGACCTGATTCTATTTTCCAGTCACGGCTTAAAATACGATTTTTCTTTAAGACTGAGAGACGTAATTAATTGAAACAAAAAATATTTCTGAAAGTTTTGCGAAATATTAAATGCACAATAATTGTTTTAATAAATTATTTTTACTGTTTTTATCGAATGTGTATACGTGTTTGAATAAATACATGAAGAATTAATATATCTACTAATTATTTCTAAACTAAATGCCCGTTTGTTAAATTTTGCTATTTAAGTGAGCTTTTTTTAACCATTCATAAGAATGGTTTAGATTCCAATTTCTGGACAATCCAAATTTTTTACTGCTCTCTTGAGTTTCAAATTATCCAGGTTTTCCTGTTTTATAATTCTGTTCGTATTTAAGTTAGTTATACAACCCTTGTATTAGTACCCTAACAATTAATAGCTCAGACCACAACTGGGGCGTCTAGCATGGCTCGTGACTACTAGATTCCAGTAGTGTGGTCCCGGGCTCGATTCTCGGTGAAGGCAAAAATAGAGTAGTAACTTTCCTTTAAAATCGTCACAGTTTCTGTAGCTGTATGATAAAACAATCTCAGGCAGGCGGATCTTGTTAGTTGCGGTGAAGGGAATGCGTCATTTTCGCGACATGTCGCTCTTACCCCTCTTACACCTGGGCATTTCACTAAGCCCAGGTGGGGACAACGTTAAGTGGCCGGCAGACCCGCACTATTGACCCACAATGCCGAATCCATACATATTTTAACTGGGCGGTATATTACATCAAGATGGAAGAATGTCAGATCACTGCTCGGCTGTTTTATTTATGGAAATGGTCGACATGGCGAAATATTTCAGGCCTATTTTAAGACGATGAAATGCAATGGCATTGCTTTAGTAAAGCATTTTTGTTTTAATTCGACAACTATTAGCAAATATAGTTCAACTTTCACCAACTTTATCCTAAATAGTATTCTTTCAACGTGATATTATTTTCTAACTTTAGTTTTTAAAGGATCTTTGGAATACCAGTAATTATAATATTGGTGGTAATAATAATAATAATAATAATAATAATAATAATAATAATAAAAGTAGTAAATCTTTGTGGCTTTTTTTTATGAAAAGTGTCCAAAGATGCGGCAAATAAGTAATACAAAGGGGCATTTACACTTCATTCACATTATTCCCAGATTTTATTCCCAGAAAAATGGCGAACACATGCAATAAATAGTTTGAACAAATGAAACAATGTATTAGGCTTTATTCAAATAATTGAAACAAAAATGTAACTTCAGCTACATTAATACATCGTGAACAGAGATATGTCACTTAAATATCACATTATTTTTTACACATTTGAGTATTCATAAAATCGTCAACGTCTCTAATCAAATCTTAATTTCCAGAGGTGAGACTCGGATGTACTCTTCAGCAGTGTCTAAATCTGTGTTTTCTCTCATGTATGGATGAAACATTGAACCCAAAAGTATTAATCACGCGTGTAATTATATATTACATGAATTTAAAATGTGCGTCATTAGAGTATATGCTCCAAATGAACGCAATGATTTAAATAACGCTAATGCAAGTGATCAGATTCTCAAAGAAAATTTTGTACTCATTTGTAGTTCTCACAAATTCTACGACAAGATGTAAAGTAAATATGAAAGCATTGATGCTTTTCTGATAATCAGGTTTTCAGTAATCATGACTTTTCTGATAATCAGTTTTCATGACTTCGAGATAGGTGAACCAGGCCCTCTCCAAGATTAAAATGAATTCACAATGGCTGTATTCATTAAAGTGCAGAAATAATGAATTCCACATAATTTCACAAGTCCTGCTCTTTACTGTTTCAGTTATATTTTATGTGCGGCAGGATCTCCAAAATTAATGATTTTTTAGTTCAATTAATGTGACGCCATTCGACTTAGAGATCCTTTCGAGAGCAGGCACACTTTCTCGTAAGAGCACTTGGCTCTCAATCCTCATGACTCACAAAGATTTTCCTTGTATTCGAATTCATTAATCAAAAAAATCCGTTCTTTCTTTTCACGGTCTCAGTTCAAACAAAATTATTTGGTTTAAACACTGTCTTCATTACCCACACATAAGTTTTAAAATTTAAACATGATATGTTTGTAAAGAGTATTAGGATGCGAGTAAAATCTTTGTGTCGGATTTGGAAATCGTAAATTCACATAACTGAAAAATTAGTAACTCTGCTCCTAAAATCTCGCAAAATGACATCTCTCAAGTGATAAATTGCTAAAATTAAATAATGCTTAAAATTAACAAGCTTCTTATTCTCTGTAGGACATTGTGGTCATGTATGAGGCACCGCGGGAATAGTATTCTTCATTAATGTTGTTTTCACATAAAAAACAAAAACAATCATTTACAGAAAAACATTTACTAAGGATCTGTAAACTGATACCAGGGCCAGATTGTACCTCTTCAAAGAAAGATCGTTTTCTAGAAGGGATTACAAGGCAAAAAACAGAATATCGTATTGGTGTACAGTGTGAACAGCAGAAGACAAATCTGTATCTTCCTCTATAGAAGTGGTCTCAGAATAACAAATACCCCATAATATACAAGCTTATCGAAATGCGCTACGCTGACAAAAATGAGATAGTACAATACTTACAAATATGACTATAAGTAAATCTTATCACACTGATATCAATTTCAGTCGGTACAAAAAAATCTACAGAGAAAAAAAGTATGCGATTGTCGAACACTGCCACCTCTCTTACACTCGTATTTTGATTTATTTGAAGTGACGTAACACTTGACGTAAGCCAGCTCTACGGTGTCATCGGGAACTTGAACGTCACTACAGTGACGACACTAGGGTGACGTCCAAGCTCCCGATTGGATGACACCGTAACAGCAGATTAGGGCGCCTTCCCACGCCGACACGGCAACGCGCGTACGTCAATCGGCAGGGCTCTTCGCCGACCCTCCGGCGACGTCGAACAAAGGGACCGCAGCAGGTAAAACGCAGCGACGTGGGAAGGCTCCCATTTAAAGCTGTGCTCTGCTTGCGGTGGCGCGCACGCCCTCCTCCGCTTCGCGCAGCGAGAGTCTTGACGGAAGCGCGCTGCCGTCGCGACGTGGGAAGGTGCCCTAATTTGCTGTTGTAAATGTGCCATTGTAAATATATCGAAGTATACGGGCCCCTTCCCACTGTGCGACCGCGGCGCGCTTCGCAGCAGCGCGGCGCGTAGCAGAGCATTCGTTTGAATGGAGGCCTTCCCACGTGCAGCGGGTGGCGGCTGCTGCGGCAGCCGACGCTGAACTCCAGCTAGCAGAACACAGGCTTTAAATGGGAGCGATTCCAACTGCGCCACGGCCGAGCGTTCTACTGCTCCGTTCGTTGTTCTACTTCGGTTCGTCGTGCCGGAGGGCTCGGCCGAAACCTACCCTCCCGACCCCACCGCCTTCAACCGGCGCGGCGGTGCGGCCGTGGCTCGTGGCTGCGTCGGAAGGGCTCTGCTGCTTGAACGAAGCGCGCCGCGGTCGCGCCGTGGGAAGGCGCCCTAAAACGCAGCGACCGGCGGCCGCAGTGGGAAGGCTCCCATTTAAAGCTGCTTCGCTGCTCCGCCGCTTCGCGTAGCGAGTCTTGGCGCGTCTTGGAAAGGCGCCCTAATCTGCTGTTGTAAACGTGCCATTGTAAATACATCGAAGTATGCTACGCAAGTGCCAGATGAGCAGCCGGCCGCGGGGGCGCTGCCCGCAGGGGCGGCGTGGAGCGGAGGGCGCCGGGCGTCGTCAGGCGTCGAGGCGCGCGTGGGCGTGGCCGCCGTGCACGTGCGCCGCGACGGCGGCGGCGAAGAGGTCGGACAGCGTGTGTAGGCGCTGGCCGGCCGCCACGCTCAGCGGCCGCAGCATCTTCCGCCCACTGCGATCTGCAGGTGAGCATGCGACATCGACATCAAAACATCAGTGCTCTTTCTAATCATCGATGCTCAAAATTCAAAACCATCGGTGTTATTAAAAAAATAATTTGGGGATTTAATTTGAAAGTGGTCTCGCTTATTTATTTTCAATTGAGATTTGCCTGACAAAACGAAGTCAAACAAAATAATCAACACAACAAAACTTTGATTATTTGATTCTATAACTTAAATATTATATAGGTTTCTTTATTGAGGAGCACTCGATTTTATTCATTTTCCACCCTTGCTCACTTTCATCCGAAGAATATTCAATTTGTGGATAACTGAAAATGATGGCACTTATTTCATTAAAAAAATATCAAGCACGTAAAAACATCGAATACAGAAAATCAATGTTAAAAGAACACCCGCTTCAAAATATCGATGTTAAATACATCTGCTGTTGTCGTAATTGTTTCGTCGATACGACCTTTGCAAGTAAAACGAGTATATAGGAGAAAGATTAGAGATAGGCGAAATAAGATCACAGGAAAATAAAAGAAATGAGAAAAAAGTGAGAAAGCGTAAAGAAAAGAAACAAAAATTGCTGAGAGGGGAGAGTATAAGCAAAGAGATGGGGAGATGAAAAGGAAAGCGTAAGAGCAAAAAAGGAAAGTGTAGTACGAAGCTAGAAGGATTACAAAGAACGAGAGTGAGTATGAGAGAAGTGAACATTTCTGGACTTGAACTCCAGGATCTCTCAGTCAGCGACGCTACTGAGGAACCGGCAAAGCTGACTCTTAGAGATAACGAGAAGAAAGATAATTGTGAAAGAAGAGAAGGCAAATACAGGAGGAAAACAAAGATAGAGAGAGAAGCAAAGTCAAAAAGAAAGAGAAAAGAGAGATAAAGAGGGTAACGGCAGAGAATGAGGAGAGAGAAAAGGCAGAGAAAGAGAAGAGAAGGAGAAGAAAAAAGACGAAAAAGAGGAGAGAGAGTGAGAGAGAGAGAAGAGAGACAAGAGAGAGAGAGAAGAGAGACAGGAGAGAGTGACAAGAGAGAGAGAGAGTGACAAGAGAGAGATTGACAAGAGAGAGTGACAAGAGAGAGAGTGACAACAGAGAGAATGACAAGAGAGAGAGAGTGACAAGAGAGAGAGAGTGACAAGAGAGAGAGAGAGTGACAAGAGAGAGAGAGTGACAAGAGAGACAGATACAAGAGAGAGATACAAGAGAGAGAGACAAGAGAGAGAGACAAGAGAGAGAGACAAGAGAGAGAGACAAGAGAGAGAAAGAGGACTCACTGTGCTGGCGCAGGGGCGCGGGCTGCGCGGGCACGACGGGCGCCGGCGCGAAGTCCTCGTAGAGGCCGCGCGCGCCCAGCAGCGGCGACACGCAGCGCGCCAGCAGGGCCTCGACGCGCAGGCAGGCGTGCGCGTGCGCGGGGCCGAGGAGGCGCGCGGCGGCGGCGGAGGCCGTGCCGCCCGCGGGCCGGGGCGGCGCCGGGGCGGGCGCCGCGGGCCCAGCGCAGGCCGCCTGCCGCCGTCACCAGCAGCTGCTGCGCCAGGCGCGCGCGCGCCGCCGGCCCCGCCCGCCCCGGCGCGCACAGCGGCCGCCCCCACCGCCGCCTCGCGCTCCAGCAGCACCTCGTCGCGGAACGCCAGCAGCGCCAGCGCGCGCACCCCGGGCTGCGCCGTCTGCAACGCGCCCGACACTCTCAGCCGCTCGGCCTCCTTCACTACGCACACTTAAACGTCAACATAACGTATCTTTAGCTCGGCAACTTAGAAAAAAAAAACCTGGAGTGCGCATGCGGGAAAAATGGTGGAGGGGAAGGTTCCCTCTCTTAAGGCGGATCCACGCATTCGGCATTCGCCAAGTTGCGAGCGGCAGTTCGCCCAATCTCGAGCAGCGATGTGCTCAGCGAATGTTCACTCCCTTTGACGTGAAGACCGACACTCGGTGGGTACGGCGAATACCGAATTTTCGGCGCTCGGCGAATCACAATCACCCCATTCACACTACTCGGGATTCGGCGAGCGGTTGCTCGGGAATCGCATGTGTGGAGCCGCCTTTAAAGGCTCAACTTCCCTGCCTTGAGGGGCCACCGCCGCCGCCTCGGCCTGGGCGGGCGGGGAGGAGGTAGCCTGGCCTTGACGAATGTCTCGAATCTTAAGTGTTGAAGCGAGAGCACTGAGTTGCAAGAGCGAATCATTTATCGTTGCAGGAGGTCCTTTAGTTCAACTGAGCTCCCCTTCGAAAGCAGTGGGGGACGGCTTAGCCACGACTCCCGGGGTACGAGACGCCGTGATGGCTTGTTTCTAAGTAGTCCAGCGTGGGGTCCAGCATGGGTTATTCAGTGAGACCATTCACAATGCCTTGACGTAACCGTTGGCCTAATTCCGTAAATTTAGGAGTTCACAAGCACCAAGCTTTTACGTTAATCCCGTACATTTACGTTAATCCCGTAAGTGTCGTGCGTGATTTTATTGCGGGAGGTGGCGTTGATCTTTCTCCGCTGGATGGCGAGATCTAGCGACGAACTACGTCGACTTGCGGGAACTTTCCCCAACCTGGTATCTCCCACCAACGTGGCATCGAACAAGCTCTAAGCTCCTAACAGGTGTAGTAGTGTAATGCAAGTGAGTGTAAATGTAAGTAAGGGATGAGGATAGACTAAGCAAGAGGAAGATGAGATCGCGCGCCGCCTGTGGCCCGTTTGTTAGGGCACTGCTCCGGCATTCTGCTTCCGACAGGACTCGTACTCTAGGTCAGAGGCACTGCAGTGACATCAGTTGAGCCACCTTCGCCGGTCCCCTTCCAAGGAGCAAGCTCTCCTTGTCAGTCACGCGTGCCGATCGTAGGAACGCTGTAAGCGCGTGGGTGGAGTTGGCTCCAAGCCGATCCGGGGCCCGAGGGAGGCGGTCGCGTGCAGCCGACGTCGCGTGCGCGGCCTAGCGCCTGTCACCTGGCAAAGGGTTCGGCGCAGGGCGAAGGCGCTTCCTGTTCAGTCTTTGGCGCTGCCAAGGCGCCGACACCGCTGCCAGCGCTTTCAGCTCTCCGCCAAAATACACGCGCCAGAAGTACACACTTCTCACCATTTTTTATTGACATAAGAGTTCGTAATTGTTATCGCTATGTAGATTTGGCTCTTGAGTTCCTTGTCAAATGAAGTGTAAATTAATTTTAACTATTTTTGACGCATGATGTTACCTGATTTATAAGAGACTGATTTTTATACGAAAGTGTAGTATACGTCTGACTCACGTTTATACGCATGAACTTCCTCGTGGATAGTCGGCCAAGTTCACGCTCTCGAGATGTCGGTTATCCCAATGAAATATTGATGCAAATGTTATAAAAATAACTTGAAATATATACGCTCACATAATCTGAATTGTGGGAGAGAAGAGATGCTTAGAAACTCACAGTATAACTACAGAAATATTGATATCTGAACTTTTCAAGCCATTTTAACTATTGAAGGATAATTTATTTTAAAAAAATTGAGAATCACTTGGATGAACCATTTCTTCATACCTCTAAGCGACGTATTCAATTTCGTTACTACTTACTGAGTATATTGTTTAGTTCCGTACAACCATGGTTTTCTAGGAAAACGGAGCTAGGTTGAGAATGCAAGAATATTTGGAAAGTAACCCTAACGTTCACTTCAATAGAAAGTGAAAGAAAGGTCTCAAAAGTCGAACTCTGTCTGCACTTGGCGACAGCCCGCGAACTGGCCAGGGCCTACCAGAAGAGTCCCGGCCCTGCGGCTATGGGCATGAGAGGTACGCATGGTTACCACGAAGACATCCCTACGCCGTATTCTGGTCGTCTCTGGTCTTTCTCGTCGTCAACATGTTTCTGCACAGCAACATATACTGAATCATTGCAAGGAAAACTATAAGGCACACTATAACCCCTCCCGAACGAGAATCGGACGCAGGGTCGCGTAATGGAAAGCTGGCTTGCTGGCAAATGAGCTAAACCGCGAGGGACAAAAGTTTTAGTAGACAATATAAAACTAAGACATTTTAATAAAAACACATGGTTTTGATTAAAGAAATACTTTCCCGAAGGTTGGCAAACCTATACATAAAATCTCATGAAAATAGTTTAAAAATAACACGCGAAGGAAGTGAGACACGGCAACTCAGTGGTATGCAAATGAAGCGGCACCAAGTATTAACAAATCAGCGTAAAACAATATTTATTGTTTATGTAAGTACTTTTAAATAGATAAACTGATGCTTTAATCTTGAGTACTTTCAAATGCTGATCATATCATTCTCTGCCAACTGTGCACAAATATAGAGTGAAACTTCGTCATCTACCTTTTATTACTCTGGCCCTCCGTTGGGTTTTGGCCTGACATCAGCGAATTCACACAACTGCCTGAGTTGTTTCTAGATCTCCAGGTTTTGATAGTTAGCCTCCTGTCTGGCCTAAAGGATGGGAAGTAATAATACTTTAATATAGAGAAGGACTGTGGTCCAAGGCTCTTCGGAGGAAACGATGGAAACCAGCGATCAGAGCAGTCGACTTCTTGAATTCCCACACAGACATCATGTTCATCCGGTCAAGATAATTAGAAGATGGCGAAAATACCCTCTCCGTCAGGTCTCGAACCTAGAACTTCCCAGTCTGCAAATCGGCTGAGTTTGCTCAGAGCAAGCATTGCCATTTGACATTTCCACCGTTGACATGCCACCGTTGACATTTCTACGATTGACTGGGAGGTCCTAGGATTCGAGGAGATTGGTACATTCACTTTTGATATCCTCTTTGTCAAGAGTTTGCTTTCCAGCCGCACCTTCATGACGCCAATGTTTTTGCCTGCACTCCACTTCTGTCGTTCTTGCAGTCGCCGTGCAGCCCTCATCCCTCGCTGTGCAGTCATGAGCCCGTGGCTCATGTACCCCATAGCTGTGTCCTCTAGCTCATTTTCCGCAAGATGTCCATGAACCCCAACATCTGACGCGTCCCTGTTGACCCTGGTAACGACCGAGCCGATGTTTCTTTTTCTCTTATTGGATATCTTCATACCGAAGATTTGGCTTTTTTTTCTAGAAGAAAGGGGTCATAGGTGACTACTAACTTAAGTTATGGAAACCGCCGATGTCAGATAAGTCGGTTCTTCCGCAGTTTGTCCGAGTGTTAACCCTGTTGGTTAGCTGCCACTATCTTGACAAACCTGATCTGAATGCATCATCCAGTAGATTCGCCAAGACCGCCACCAATTGACCATCCACCAAATCATCCGCCAATTGTGATAGTCCGTCGAAGGGATTGGTACCAAAATTTTGGAATGTTACACCATATTCTCTCTTACACCGTATTTGTAAATGCACTTTCATCTATTTGAGCGATCTATGTAAAGAAAACATTGAAATATGTTTTTAGAACATTTTGAGAACGTCACTTTTTGTGCTTCTTGTAAAGTGCTACAGAAAATTAAAATATCTTAATAATTCTTAAGTATTAAAGATACAACTTGATCTTACTCCTGACATGTCTAGGAAGTTTTTTTACGTTTCTAAGAGAAGATTATGTGCGACACATTCATGCATACATGTACACATGCATGGATACATACAATACACACATACGTATATAGCAACATTCCGGCTCGGGGGTACAAAATTGCTTTATCCCCTCGCTAATTGCACCACCTTCACCATATTTTGAACAGCGCTAATAATCCTTAATTCTGAAATGTGTGAGATGTTACAGCACAAAAGAAGTGTAAACTCGGATTTAACGATCCAAAATTCGAAGTCCTAAAGTTCAGGCGATTTTTTTCTAGAAAACAGCAATGACTGCAAATAATATTCATGCGGCACCCAGATAAGACGATTTCCTGCACTTAGAAAATAAGTATTTCAACTGTTGCTAATGGACAAAAATTCGAGGTCCTAACGCTCAGGCGAAAACTTCTATAAAATAGCAATGACCAGTAATAATATTCATGCGACACCCAGATCAAGATAATTCCCTGCACTTAGAAAATAAGTATTTCAGCTGTTGTAGGTATTGTGGTGAGTTATCGTTGGCATTTCTAATGAAATACTTACATGCGTCATCATTGCCAACAATATTATTTATTAAAAAAGCAGCTTTCGATGGCTTAGCCATCATCATCAGTTTTCTGCTGTATGGAAGCCACAAAAACGACTAGTCGAGCTGCTTTTTAATAAATAATATTGTTGGCAATGACGACGCATATAATTACTTCATTTCAACTGTTGCTAATGGCCTGGGTGGCCGCAGCCGGGCGGCCGCTCGGCGGGGCGGCAGGCTCACCCGCACGTGGACGAAGACGGCGAGCAGCGCGGGCAGCAGGTGCCTCCAGAGGCGCGCCCACGCCTCCAGCACCACCTCCACGTCGTCGGGCGCCGGCGCGTCGTCGCCGGCGTCTGCGTCGTCGGCGTCGTCGGCGAGGGCGGCGGCGCTGGCGGCGGCGAGCGCGCGCATGGCGGCGGGCAGCACCCGCCCGCGCAGAAAGTCCGGCACCAGCGCCGCTGCGCGCCCGCGCAGCAGCGCGCGCACCTCTGCCTGCGCACACCGCACGGCCTCAGTCCCGGTACACAGCGGCTCCTTTAAGAGCTCCTTCGCAATGCACACGCATAGGCGTAAACAGTAACACAAGTGATAGAGTGAAGTATTCACAATGCCTAACATAAACGTAAGCAAAATACGTTTCTGTTGGCTGGAAGGCATTCTACTTTACTATTGGTTGGATGTGAGAGGCGATGTCGAGGTATCGACTCAGTCCATGGCCCATATGGCATTAGTTCGTAGGGAGTTTGTGCCACGTCGAACGTTAAAGCACTATCGATCTTCTACTCATGCGCAGTTCAAGTTTCGCACCATGTTTCTGCATCTGCGCATGCGCAGATCGATAGAGCTGACGCTATGGCGTGCACAAACTCCATCGTGTATCGACTTCGATCGTTTTTCGATTTTCGAATTTGAGTTAACGTACTGTGATTGGTTCGTTTCTGATTACTTACTGAAGCATAAGCACAGAAGCCTGAAGCTTGCAAGCTTCTAAGTCAACATCTTACTTGCGTCTTACTACGTGTTATGCTTATGCGAACGCATTGTGAATGAGTCCGCTTATGGACGTAGTCCTAACTTTTAGGTTAACGCCATGATTATGTTTACGTTTGCATTGTGAATGGGTCTTCACACGTTGCCACCGCTGCGCGCCTCCGAACTTCGCGGCTCGTAGCAGAGCATTGGTTTGAATGGAGGTCTTCCCACGTGCAGCGGGCTTGCACTGCTGCGTCGTTCGGCAGCGGACCCTCGCCACGAGAAGCGCAAGAGGGCGTACGCGCCACCGCTAGCAGAACACTGCTTCAAATGATGGTAAACCCCCTGCGCCGCCGGGCGCGGCGTTTTACCTGCTGCGGTCTCTTCGTTCGTCGTCGCCGGAAGGTCGGCGAAACCTACCCCTACAGAACCCGACCCCAGCGGCGGAGACGTGCAACGGTGGCGGTGTGGGAAGAGCTCTGCCTTATCACAAGCGAGAGAGGAAGGTTTTGTGAGTCGCATCGCTGTGGGCTCAGGCCGTCAAAATGCAAGCAGCCGGAAAATACCGGTTCAGTGGCGCGTCTCGTGTGAGTGTTGCTATTTAGATCTGTGTTCTGCTAGTGGTGGTGTCAGCGCACTTCTGTGCTGCTGATGGCAGGAGTTTGCCACCAACCGTCACAGCAGCACGACTCCGCCATTCCTCTGAAAACCTCCATTTAAACTAATGCTTTGCCAGAAGACGCGCCACTTGGAAGCGTTGCTGGGTGGCGCCAAGTGAAGGGGCCCTTTTACACGGTTATTTCTTCATCATTTTTAATCGGTACAGAAAAGTGAGGGGCAAGACGTGATGTAAGTTGTACAAAAAAATTATGCTTCATTTTTCGGTACAAATTTTAATATGGCACCGCGCTTCCGGCGTCATTTCTTGAACTTTTGCCCGTTGCAATGCGTATGGTACGATTTGTTCGTTTTGTGCGTTCTGACCAGTTGAATTGTAATGTGAAGCGACTAGTGTAGTGTGAAGTAAAACGTTGTACTGTGCACTACTTAATTCACTACCACAGATGTGATGATCATCTGTTTAATCTTCAGCACCTTTTTCAGCGTTCAGAAGAAACATTTTCATTCCGATTACGAGAACGAAATGACCGTGTAAAACGCTAGATCTCGTTCATTCAGTTTTGATACCTAAATACTATCACTTAGAAACAAACGTCCCTTTTCGTACATTTGTCCGTACAAAAAATGATGAAAAAATGCCCGTGTAAAACTTGCTTAAGAAGGTACCATTTTGGCAGGTCGCGTAACAAATGATAATGCCATGGTGGCATTGCAGAGGAACCATTCACTAGTGAGCCACCTGCAAGCTAACGCATTGACGAATTGAGCCATAGATATAACCTGCAGTTGTTTCCAGCTGTAGTCAATCAGTGAAAGTGGACTCTTTTTAGAATAACCTCTCAATATTCGGGGTCGGACTGAGGTACTGTGGGTCCCCCAAGCACAAAATCGTAATGCAGCTACCCTCCGGAAACATTTCCTCTAGAGCGACTTAAAAACACTTATATAACTTTTTTTAAATACAAACGAAAATTAACAGGTTATGTTTAGAATTGAATCTATATTACATATTTTTATTTAACTACTTTTTTAATTTTTTGTTCAGGTAAAAATACATGTTTAGTTTTTTATCCCCTCCATCATATATTTTGTCAACTCTTGACTCAATCTGACGTTTTACTTGGCATAAATCAACACTTATTTTACGGGTAGAAACATGATAATTTTCATATATTTTATGATTTTTTCTGGGGCGCGCGATCCGTCATGGATATAGACCCCCTAAGCAACTGCTTATTTTGTTTGTAAATGAATCCGTCCCTGATGGTATCGGTACCTTCATGATACTTCCTTCATCGATTGCTATCCATAAGTGAGTCCAGTTAATATTATTCGAACTTTACTTCGTATTCAAAAAATTCACAAAATATTTAAACAACTTTATCCACAATTATTTTGATATTAATATCATCTAATTTACTCCTTTAAAAAGTCAAAATCCGTATTTATTTTCTTTGACAATACTATCGATTTTACATAAAGAGTCAGAATTTGAAGAACATACATTTAACACGGTTGGAATAATCAGATTTTTGATTTATAATTTAATCAATTTATTTTTACCTAAAACCAGTACATTATCGATTTTTATGAAGAAGTATGACTACTGTGAGTACTAGGAGTGTTGCAACGACCCTACCTCACTCACCTGCTCTCGGGTCTATGCGCAAGTGCAAGGGCATTCAACGCTCGCGCATTGACGATGCAAGCGGAGAATATCACCAATGTACACGCCCCGCTTGCCAAAGACGTTTCTGGCGAGATTAAAAATGGACATCCGTTTTTCCACTCGCCAGATAATCACACTTATACCTACACGTCAACTGGCCTACGAACGACGGAGCATTTACCAAATCATTTGGCCACCATTCACCTCAGGCTTCTGTGTTTTCAGGGCGCAGAGTAAGTACTCGAAAAGTACAGAGTTGTGGGAGGCTTCCGGAGTCAGTAGCTACTTGGCTGCCCGGGGACGCCGCGTCCTTGGGGTGGACAACTGTGCCTTTATATTATAATAGAAATATTTATTTCCGCAATGTTTACATTTGCAACTTTTCTTGCGAAATAATATTGCTCGCCTTTTTCTTGCAAGTGTAAAGCCAGTTTAAGACGCGGCGCGGCGTCTCCCGGACAGCCAAGTAGCTACAGAGTTGTGTATTGCCTATATTGTTTGACAATGACAGTCGAAGTTGCGCATTCCATGATGGGCTCATCCCGTGATGTTTGTATGGAAGAAACGATTTTATAATGTAGAAAGACACAAAACGTTGATGGTTTGCGGAGAAAGCACGGAGAGAAGGTTAAGAACCAGTTGAAAAGGAAATGGTGTTAGATTAGTCCACATCAAACACTGCTTTAAAAAGTGTCATATGAACAAAAGTATTTAATAAATACAAAGTTACTTTCTATTGTATCGGTGTATTTTCAAATAAACAATTTAAATTTTATACATTATTTTTAGTGTTGAAGCTTAAAAGAGAAAAACAAAAGAGCGAATGTACTGTACATAATCATTTGATGCTGACGTAATATGTGGTACGAAATAGAAATGTGTGAATGTTTATTCATATGCAATGGTAGATAATGAGTGAAAACAGTGTTGTTCACAAATAATTGTATATGTTGATTAAACTCCCACAACACAGACACGAACGCACAGTCATCCATTCGCAAGTCATGCATTCCCTACAATTGCCTCCACAAA